GCCAAACTGGCTAGAGCTTGGGGCTGTTTTTTTTTTGTTTTTTTTTTTTTTAATTCCATATGAATTTTTAGAGTTTGTTCTAGGTCTGTGAAATATGCCCTTGGTATTTTAATTGGGATTGCACTGAATCTATAGATTGCTTTGGATAGTATGCATATTTTAATTATGTTGATTCTACCAATCCATGAACACATGGTATAGTCTTTCACTTGTTTATGTCTTCCTCTTATCTTTTTCATTGTCCTATTGTTTTCCAGTACAGGTCTTTTACCTCCTTAGTTAAGTTTATTCTTTGGTATCTTACTTTTTTTTTGGTGCAGTGGTAAATGGGATTTTTTAATTTTTATTTTAGTTTCTCTTTCTGTGAGTTCATTATTAGTGTATAAAAAACCATAGATATCTGGGTGTTAATTCTGTATACTGTTCCATTGCTGAATTCATTAAGTCTAGTGGTTTTCTGATAAAGTCTTTAGGGTTTTCTATGTATAATATCATGTCATCTGCAAATAATGACAGTTTTACTTCTTTTCCAATTTGGATGCCTTTTATTTCCTCCTCTTGTCTGATGGTTATGGCTAGCACTTCCATGGTGTGCTGAACAGGAGTGGTGAAAGTGGGCATCCCTGTCTTGTTCCTGTTCTTAGGGAAAATGGTTTTAGTTTTTGCCCATGGAGTATGATATTGGCTATAGGTTTGTCATATATGGTCTTTATCATATTGACATATGCTCCCTCTCTCCCACTTTGCTGAGAGTTTTTATAAAAAATGGGTGTTGGATCTTGTCGAATGCTTTTTCTTTGTCTATTGATATGATCATGTGATTTTTGTCCTTCAATTTATTTATGTGATGTATCACATTTATTGATTTGCGAATATTGTACAAGCCTTGTATCCATGGAATAAATCACACTTGATCATGGTATATGATCTTTTTAATATTGCTGGATGCTATTTGCTAATATTTTGTTAAGGATTTTAGCACCTATGTTCATCAGGTGTCTTTATTTGGTTTTGGAATTAGGATAATACTAACCTCAGAAAATGAGTTTGGAAGTGTTCCTTCCTTTTGGATTTTCTGAAATAGTTTGAGGAATATAGATGTTAGCTCTTCTTTGAATGTTTGGTATAAAACCCCTGTGAAGCTGTCCAGACCTGGGCATTTGTTTGGTGGGAGATTTTTGATGCACAAACCCACTCTATGCTTCAGTGCAAGGGCAGCAGCTTGAAGAGTTCCAGGGACACGGGGAGCGATTAAATTGACCAACTTCAAGGCAGGGGCTGCAGGGGGCAGCTCTCAACTGGGATGGAAGTGCTGGCAGGCGCCAGTGTCCTTTCTGGAATTCTCCCACAACAGAGCCAGCTGTCAACTAACCACCTTCCCCAACCCGTGGTGATTCCCTGAAACCCGTGGTGATTCCCTGAAACCCCTGCTGACCCTAATCACCAGCCCAGCCCAAGCTCTTCCACAGCCCCTCCACACAAGTGGCCTGCCTCAGCTCCGCTGCGGACTTTCCCCAAATCCTCGAAAGTTCCACAAACCTCAAACAAGCAGCAACCAAACTTGGCGTGCCTCCCAGCACTTGCTTAAGCAGCCCCATGCACATGACATCTGTGTGTGTAATTGGCCTGAGCTACCTCTTAGATCTCTTCCTACCCCTCAGATACGTTTGTTCTAAGTGTTCCAAGTCCTCTTTAAAATGCAGTTATGCTTTAATTAAGAAGCTTCCTATTTGCAGGTTGGGGGGATGTAAAAAGATGGCCACCTCATGCCTATTACTGTACTTGTTTTGTAGGTAACCAAAATGCTGTAAGTTGATTCATAGGTGGCTCCCATTTACCAGGCATATCATATGTGCAGGCACTGTGTAAGTGCTGCACAGGACTTAGTTTTACAGTTATCCAGAAAGGTCCATATTCACAGTTGTATGGATGAAGGCACCGAGGCTAAGAAAGGCTAAGTGACTTATGCAAAGCTCAGTGAGTTAAGGGGAAGTAGATGCAAACGTACATTTGATCCCAAAGCCTGTATTTACACTTATGGGAGAATGAGTTTTGTTTTTTGTTTCCTTTTCCAGACCTGTACCCTGTTTCTAATCGCAGACCAGACATACGTTGGTTGAGAGGTGGGGTTAGAACATACCCAAGATCTCTTCCAACTCTTGACTGTTTGGTCATTGAATATTTCTTTATAACAGTCACTCTGCCCTACACTATGCCATAAAGCAAGGGTAAGCAAACTTTTTCTGTAGAGGGCCAGATAATAAATATTTTGGCCTATATTCAATGCTACCATTGTATCCATAGACAACTTGTAAACAAGTGTTGCTGTATTCTGTTACAGTATTTTTACAGAAATAATTTTTGGAGGGACCTGATTTGGCTTGTGGTTTGCTGATCTTGCTTCATAGCTATTTTCTTCTCTTTTTTGTTAAAGAATATATTTTTACTAGAGGCCCGGTGCACTAAATTTGTGCAGAAGGGGGGGCAGTATGTGTCCCTCAGCCCAGCTGCACCCTTTCCAATCTGGGACCCCTTAGAGATGTCTGACTGCCTGTTTAGGTCCAATCCCACTGGGCCTCTCACAATCCAGGACTGCTGGCTCCCAACTGCTCACCTGCCTGCCTGCCTGATTGCCCCTAACTGCTTATGCCTGCCAGCCTGATCACCCTCTAACTACTCCCCTGCCACCCTGATTGATGCCTAACTGCTCTCCTGCTGGCCTGGTCACACCTAACTGCCCTTCCCTGCAGGCCTGGTTGCCCCCAACTGCCCTCCTCTGCTGGCCTGGTCACCCCCTAACTGCTCTGCCCTGCAGGCCTTGTCCCTCCCAACTGCCCTTCCCTGCTGGCCATCCTGTGGCAGCTATCTTGTGTCTACATGGGGCGGCCATCTTTGACCACATGAGGGTGGCCATCTTGTGTGTTGGAGTGATGGTCAATTTGCATATTGCCTCTTTATTATATAGGATTGATTTTAAAGAGGAAGGGAGAGGAAGAGAGAAACATCAGTGGTGAGAGAGAATCTTTAATTGGCCAACACTCCCTACTTGGAACTCAATTTGCCCTACCAGGAATCAGATTGAGACTACCTGGTTCATAGTTCGAGCCATGCCTGCCTGGTTGAATGACAAACTTCTTACTGGCCTTGCCCTGGGGCATGCATCAGGTGCAGTTGGTGCAATGAGTAGGCTGCACGTGGCTATGGCCTTTTTGGGCATAACCATTGTTCCCTCTTTTCTTGGTCATCTTATAAGCAAGAACCCAAGAGCCCAAACCTGTTTTCCATGGCAGACACTGATGGCCCACCTCGGTCTCTGTAGGCCTTTGGTCTGTTGTGCATGTGTTTCTTCTTGTAATCTGTAGGCTTTGGGTGAATTCATTGCAATATTTCCCATTGTGGAGTTCCTTAAGAGGCAGTGTGTATGCACTCTCCGAGCTTTGGTGGGGGACCATAATTTGCAGTTGCCGCTACTCTGTGGTTCCCTTCTTGCAGTTCTGTGAAGGCATGCCCATGGGGACAAGGAGGCCGGTTCAGGATGGTCACCTGCTAAATTTGGCATATCTGCACCATAGAATATAATATTAGCAGCAGTTAACAGACTATTTTCTAACTTGGATTGCCAAATTATAGGAAGCTTTGTACAATACCTTTTTATGTTAGAAATGTATTTTTATACATATATTTTATGGGGGTCATGTTTGTGAATGTGTGAAAAAGGCCTGATGATATCCATACCACACTAATAACTGGGGAGATGGGTGGGAAGGAACCTGGGATTGGGGCAGTGACTGTAATCTTCACTGTCATATTTCATTTTTTATTTATATTTTTAATCCTTATCGGAGGATATTTTTTCCATTGATTTCTAAAGAGAGTGGAGGAAAGGGGGGTGGGGAGAAAGAGGGAAACTTCTACATCAGAGAGACACATCGATTGGTGGCCTCCCATACCGCCCCTACCAGGGTTGGGCTGCTAGGTACATGCCCTTGACCAGAATCAAACCCTCCACTCTTTGGTCCACAGGCCAATGCTCTAACCACTGAGCAAACAGGCTAGGGCTATTCCTGTGTGTGTGTGTGTGTGTTTAACAAGGAGAATGTGTTTGTATATTCCTTATGTAATTAAAGTTTAAGCATAAGATCTGTGCTGCTTCAGCCCTTTCATAATCTCCACCAGCCTTCCCAGAGCCATCCCAAGTAAACAAACCACTGCAAACTGCAGTGGGCATGCTGAGAAGGTGCTCCCACTCCCTATGGCCTTATAGAGGGTTGCTGTTGCATGCACTCAGCTCAGAGAATGAGGGTAGAAGGGAACTCTAATGGCAGTGGCTTAGAACCTCAGCTCCATGACTGTTTGGGCACGTTGCCTGTTATTTGCAAGGTCACTTCTTTCCCTGCAAAGTTGTTTATATGGTCAACCTTGTGCTCTGCTTCAGGAAAATGCAGGTAACAGAGTCAGTTTTACACCTGATGTAGGCATCTGAGAGCAGCTGCAAGGCCAGGGGGAGGTTTTAGGGTAAGCAGATAATACAGGAGAAGCTGGGCATAGATAGGTCACTTATTTATTGTTTAAGGATCAATCAGTCCATATCCTTGCTAATGGCTCTGCCATTTTTCTATGTGTTAATCCAGGAGGAATTTTGTTGTCAGAGAATAAAAGGAGGTTGTCCATAATTGACTTTAAGCAGCAAACAGTAAAACACTGAGCTCTTCAGCTCCGCCTTTCTTGTAAGTTTATCCTTTATTCCCAGTGGTCATGAAAACTAATTCATGTGATAACATATTTCCATAAATCTAGAACCCTAAAGTCTAAATAAACTTTTTGTTTGTCCATAAGTGTTTAACATAAAAGATTCCATTATGATGAAAACTAATTTTCTTCAGCTGAAGTCATTTTGCTATTAAGAAAATCCATTCAGGTGTGTTTAATATCATATGGCAGTTCTTGATATATTTTAAATTCTTCTAGGCTCTAAGAATTGGAAAACCAAGAAGGTTTTGATGTTTTGTGTGGCGCCAGCTGAATTAGAAACCAAGATGAACATAACCAAAGGAGGCCTGGTGCTGTTTTCAGCAAATTCTAATTCATCTTGTATGGAGCTTTCAAAGAAAATTGCTGAGTGAGTTATAATCATATCATTAAAATTTGTATTATGTGATATTTTCACTCGATAATTAGATTAGCACTGATTGTTAAACTTGAAAGCAGGTAATCTGCATATCACCTGTATATATTAGGGCATTTTGTAAACTATCATTCATTCAGCAGATATTGATGAGTGTCTTGTAGACGCTGGGGATAATTAGGGCATATTATGTATAGAATATTTGAGTATAAAGAACAGTGAAGTGGATACTGTACAGAAATAGTTTATAGATTGTAGTTCAACATAATTTTAGTTATTTTAGGTATTGATTTAGATAATGGGGATTAACAATGAACAGCCAGTCAAAATTCTTACATTTTGTAGGGGTCCAGACAAGAAGCAAGTCAGCAGAACAAATACAGTAATTTTAGGTGGTGATAAATGCTCTGAAAAAACTAAACACAAAAACCAACTTCAGTGAAAGGAGTGATGGGACAGGCTGTTCTGCTTTTGCTTGGGTGCTCAGGTGCCTTTTAAACAGAGGGGATGATGTGTGAATTGAGAACCTGAGTGAGTCACTGGGTGAAGGTCTGGGGCAGAGCCCAGCAGGCAGAGGAGCAGCAGTTCAGAGCCCCGGGGTGAGCAGCAGGAGTTGGTGTATCTCAGGAGTTTGGGGAGTGTAGAGAGCACGAGGAAATGGTCAGTGAGGCAGGCAGGGGAGGACGACGTCGACCTGGGGAGGAGGGTGAGAGGTTAGGTAATAGCGTGACTTTATAGTTTAATACTAACTTCAAATTTTATGAGGAGAATACCTCTATTTTATTTTTATTAATTTATGAATCATCTTTAGATAGTAAAGATGTTGAGTCTATTCTATTACCTGTTCAGCTTTTCCTCCCTTTCTCTTCTCTAGGCGGCTGGGGGTGGAAATGGGCAAAGTGCAGGTTTACCAGGAACCTAACCGAGGTGAGCTATCTTTGACATGTGTAACATTGATCTTTTTACAGAAAATGACATACTGCCTCGTCCTTCATCCTCCACTAGTGTAACAAGTAGACTGTCAGTTAGTTCCATGAGCAGGAAGTCTGTAGGCAAGGTGGGCGAGAGTGGTGTTTTAGCTCCTACGAACACCAACTAGATGGAGAACCCTGGAGCAAGTCACATCTGAGGGCCCGAAGGCACTTCTTAGACCTCACTCCATGAGAACTGCATGTGTGAACTGACGGGCCAAGTGAACGGATACTGTATTTCATTTGTTGGTTGAATTTATGTCACATTAGGCAGGATGAGTAAATCCTGTGTGGCCACATACTAATTGGTTGTTATTCTTTTCTTTTTAAAAAATATTTTATAATTTTTTTACAGAGAGGAAGGGAGAGAGAAACATCGGGAGTGTTAGAAACATCGATGGGAGTGTTAGAAACATCGATGAGAGAGAAACATCGACCATGCCTCCCGCACACCCTCTACTGGAGATGTGCCCGCAACCAATGTACATGCCCTTGACCAGAATCGAACCTGGGACTTTTCAGTCCGCAGACCGATGCTCTACCGCTGAGCCAAACCGGTTTGGCTGTCATGAAATCTTGTTAAATGCTTTTTACTGCCCTGGCCATTGTGGCTCAGTGTTTAGAGCATTGGCCCGCACACCAATGTGTCAGGGATTCAATTCCCTGGTCAAGGGCATGGACTTGTGTTGCAGGTTCAGTCCCCACCCTGGTGAGGAGTGCAGGAGGCAACCAATCAGTTTGTCTCTCATATTGATGTTTGTCTCTCCGTGCCCCCTCCCCCTCTTCCACTTGCTCTAAAAATCAGTGGGAAAATATCCTCGGGTGAGGATTAATAACAACAACAAAAAGAAATGCTTTTTCCTAATTGATTTATGCCATTGCATACATATCTCAAGTTGTAAAAAGCATCTGTTTTCTATATTCTAGCAGGGGCTATGGGCAGCTTGCATGGACTTGAGATTCAGACAGCTTATCCTTGGCAAGTTATATAACCTTTCTAAATTGCAATTGATTGGTAGTGTTTTAGGACTAAATGGGATAATTGTGTGCCTAACATAGCTCTTTGTATTTAGCAGGTACTCAGTAAATATTAGTTCCCTCTCCTTTTCCACTGTAGTATTTTGTCAAGTACTTACATATTATGGAACTTAAAACAGACTTTGATGAAAAGGCACACATTTTCTCTTCCCCATTTATTTTTCCATTACTGCCTCCTCTTTCTGCTCTCCCAAGTTGCCTCATGTGGCTTCAGTAGGTAAAAAGTGCAATTGAAAATATGTAGGGAAAATTTGGAGAAGGTAATGCTGCTAAAGGGAAGAATGTCCTTTGTCTAGTAGTTTGGAAGGGAGGGTCCAGGGGAGAGTTAGTGGTGGAAGACTCAGCAGGAGGTTGGCCATCCTCCAGGTTCACGGAAGATTCTGAGGGCTCACAAGTATCAGGGGCAATATTTGGTTCCAGGTTTCTCTGACTCTAAAGATCATTTTTCCCCCTATGGTACCATGTTCCCTTTTTAAATGTATTCTGTTTTCCCCAACATTTTAAATGAAAATGTTCAGATCTATAAAAAAAAAAAAGTTGAAAGAATAGATTCTATCACTTAGGTTCACAGTTCTCGGTTTGCTATGTGAATATGAATGTGTAGAGTAGGTTGCAGACATCAAGACCCTTAACCTCTGAACTTGGGCATGCATCTCCGAAGAACAAGGACTTTATATCTCTAGTCATCTAAAGTCTAGTCTATTTTCAAGGTTCCCTACTTGACCTAAAGAGCTTTTATAGCTCTATTTTGTTTTGTTTTTCAAACTAGGATTCATGGTTCAAGCACTGTGTTTTTAATATCTCTTTAGTTTCTTCTAGTCTACATAAATTCCGTACCTTTTCCCTTTTCTTCCCATGACAATGACTTTTTGAAGAGGCTGTTTTGTCCCGTTCTGGGTTTGTCTAATTCTTTCCTTCTGGCTGATCACAAATTTTTTGAAAGTAGAGTATTGGACCTTATTTATTGTTATTATTATAACATTTTGTTCCTAATAAGTTCTCCTTGTTGTGGCTAAGTGAATGAGTGTATAATCCTATGTAATAAAAGGCTAATATGCAGATTGACCTAACAGTGGAACAACCAGTCACTATGACATGCACTGACCACCAGGTGACAGACAATGTAGGAGCTGCCCCCTGTGGTCATTGCGCTCCCACCAGGGGAGCACTGCTCAGCCAGAAGCTGGCTCATGGCTGGCGAGTGCAGCGGTGGTGGTGGGAGCCTCTCCCACCTCATGGCAGCCCTAAGGATGTCCGACTGACTGCCTAGGCCTGCTCCTAAGCCACCAGTAGGACATTCCCCAAGGCTCCTCGACTGTGAGAGGGCACAGGCTGGGCTGAGGACCCTTCCCCCCTGCCCCCCCAGTGTATGAATTTCGTGCACTGGGCCTCTAGTTTCCTATAAAGATACTGTGCTCAGAGTGATACAGCACTTTCTACTTATATATTATACAAGAACCGAGAGGGTAGGTTTACTGGTTTCAAGTCAGAAATGTAATTATGTTTAAAAAGTGTAGCTAATGACAGTATGCTTATGGTTTTGTAGCATTTAAAACTAATCTCTTTTATAATAGTTTCAGTTTCCATATTTTGTAACATTGGACAATATTGACATTTTTTGTGTATTTTCAAAAACGTAAATTATATACCTTCTTCACCCCTCCCCTCTTTCTTTCCTTTTCTTCCCAGAAACAAGAGTACAAATTCAGGAGTCCGTGAGGGGAAAAGATGTTTTCATCATTCAGACTGTTTCCAAGTGAGTCCTAACCCAGCAGAAGCATTGCTGCTCTCTGGGTTTCTGTTTGGGTGTGAGTGTTCAGAATATGAGTCAGTTAGACAAGAAAAATTAAGATAATTTTAAAATTAGTATGTTACTCTGCTATTTTCTGTCTTAACTGCTGCCTTTATGTGTAACCAAGTACAGGAGTCCCACAGTTAGCCAGGGGGTACATTCCAAAACCCCCGGTGGATGCCTAAAACTGAGTCCTATAGTAGTATATACTCTGTTCTTTCTATGCATACGTACATATCTTTGATAGAGTTTAGTTTATAAATTAGGTACAGTAAGATATTACAATAATAATAAAACACAGCAATCATAATCATACTATAATAAAAGTTACGGTAATGTGATACATCTCTCTGTCTCTGTCTCTGGTTACTGATTTGATAACCAAGATAGCTTACTGAGTGACTAACGGGCAGATGTCATATGTAGCATACGGGATAATTAATGTCTCAGGTGGGATGGAGCAGGACAGCTATGCAAAATGGCACACCATTTAAAACTCATCAATTGTTTATTCCTGGAATTTTCCATTTAGTATTTTCCTACCATGGTTGACCGAGGATAACAAACCACAGAAAGAGACACTGAGGATGGGGGTGGTGGGGCTGCTGCATTGGAGTAGAGCAGAGGTGGGGATGTCAGGCCATGTAAGGCCATAAAATCATTTGGTTTGACCCTGCCAAGGCAACTGCAGGTGGGACTCAAAATTCAATAAATTTAGGAGCTTTGTTCATAGCAGCATACATTTATATTAAGCAAATGATGTTATAAATATCCAAATGGGAGAAACCAAGATGGCAGCATAGGTAAACATCTGAACTTGCTGCCTCACACAACCACTTCAAAACTACAACTAAAAGACAAAACAACATCATCCAGAACCACAGGAAGGCTGGCTGAGTGGGAATTCTACAACTAGAAGGGAAGAGAAAAGCACAGTGAGACTCAGAGGAGCTGCAGAAGTAAAGTGCAGAAGTACGGAGACACGTGCGTGAGGAAAAGGCTGGCAACTGAGGACGCGGTTGTCTTTTTCAATCAGGAGGGAGATACAAGCTCCTGACTACTCTGAACTCCAGTTCTGGGTGAGACTCTGGGGACCCAAACTGATACCTGGGGAAACTGGACTTTCTGACATTGGATCAGAACACGAGGGCAGCTTTCTCTCAGAGGTTACCTCAGGACATTGAGACCTGGGTGCCTCTTAGGCCATTGCTGTTTGCTCTGCCCAGTTGATTCCTGAGACCTTGCTCCACCCAATTTACAACCCCATCCCAGCTGTACATATGAATGGCCTGGCCCCTTGCAATCTAAAATTACCTAACAAACTGCAGCTGGATCAGTGAGACCCAGAACATCCAAAAGAAGGCCCAAGGCCCCACAGCAGCTTGTATTGCTTCACAGATGGGCCTCATCTGGGCATCTTCAAATGCCAAACAACGAAGAGAAATCTGTAGATCTCTCTGTAGCTCCTGCTGGGTGGCCTCAGGTAGAGCTAAATTTTCACCTTCTTGGATATCAAATAGCCATTGTACACAGTGGTCAGAGTGAGGTCATTCAAATTACGACTCCTCAGATCCATAGGGGACACACTTAGGGGACAGACCCAGTGAGCACCAAAGCCCTACTGAAGTAAGTCCTGTCCCATAAGGGTGTCTCCAGCACAGAAGTTCTCCTATCATAGACACACTGATCCTCACAGCCAATTTGCCTGGAGGTCAGTTCCTTCCGTTGATACCAACAACAATCAAGGCTTTACTATAACAAGACTGTGCACACAGCCCTAACCGGTTTGGCTCAGAGGATGGAGCGTCGGCCTGCGGACTGAGGGTTCCCTGGTTCGATTCTGGTCAAGGACATGTACCTTGGTGGTGGGCACATTGCCAGTGGAGCTTGTGCAGGAGGCAGCTGATTTATGTTTCTCTCTCAACGATGTTTCTAGCTCTCTATCCCTCTCCCTTCCTCTCTATAGTAAATCAAAATATATTTTAAAAAGACTGTGCACACAGTCTACCAGGGGGTGCACTAAGAGTATCCACATCAGGTAACAGGGAAGGCTGAGCCACTGGGCCCCATAGAACACCTAGCACACAAAGCCACTCTATCAACACAGGGAAGCAGCCAAAAATGCAGAGACAAAGAAACAGGTCACAAATGTCAGAAATGGAGGAAAGCAAACTACTGGATATAGAGTTCAAAACCCCAGTTACAAGGTTACTCAAGAATCTTCTATTATAGAAACCTCTGAGAAATTTAGTGAGAACCTTGAGGATATGAAAAAGGACCAACTAGAAATGAAGCATACACTGACTGAAATAAAAAATAATATACAGAGACCTAACAGCAGACTAAAGGATCCCAAGAATCGAGTCAAAGATAGGAAATATGAAGAAGCAAAAAAAGCCATTGGAAAAGCAAAAAGAATCCAAAAATGTGAAGATAGTGTAAGGAGCCTCTGGGACAACTTCAAGTGTACCAACATCTGAATTATGGGGGTGCCAGAAGAAGAGAGAGAGCAAGATACTGAAAACCTATTTGAAGAAATAATTACTGAAAACTTTCCCCCACCTGGTGAAAGAAATAGACTTACAAGTCCAGGAATCACACAGAATCCCAAACAAAAGGAATCCAAAGAAGAACACTCCAAGACACATCATAATTAAAATGCCAAGAGCAAAAGACAAAGAGAGCATATTAAAAGCAGCAAGAGAAAAACAGTTAATTACCTATAATTGGATGGGGAGCACCCATCCAATTGTCAGCTGATTTCTTAACAGAAACTATGCAGTCCAGAAGGGAGTGGCAAGAAATATTCAAAGCGATGAACAGCAAGAACCTACAACCAAGGTTATTCTACCCAGCAAAGCTATCATTCAGAGTTGAAGGTCAGATAAAGAGTTTCACAGATAAGTAAAAGCTAAGGGAGTTCACCACCACCAAACCAGTATTATATGAAATGCAGAAAGGTATTCTTTAAGAAGAAGAAGAAGAAAAAGATAAAGATAAAAATTATGAACAACAAATACGTATCTATTAACAAGTGAAGCCAAAAATCAAGTGAATTAAAAATCTGAGGAACAGAATAAACAGGTGAATATATAGAATCAGGGGTATAAAAAGGGAGTGGGGAAAGGGGAGTGAGGGATGCAGGAAGAGACTGGACAAAAATCGTACACCTATGGATGAGGACAGTGTGGGGGAGGTAAAGGTAGAGGGTGGGGTGGGAATTGGGTGGAGGGGAGCTATGGAGGGGAAAAGGAAAAACTATTGTAATAATCTGAACAATAAAGATTTATTAAGTTAAAAAAATAAAAGTATATATAAAGGAAAAAAATAGAATTCAGGACTTCAGAAGGGTGACTCTTATAATCTCAAATTCAAGTTCTCTTCATTTTCTTTTACTTATTTTTAACTTTTATTCTCTTCCTGCCTTTTATCAGTTTCTTGGGCCTCTAGCCAAAACCATCTCCTTCATTTTCTGTCTCATTTGCATTGTTCCGAACTGTGCTGTCGGCTAGTGTTAATTCAGCTCTTCTTACTCTTGCACAGGTTGCAAAAAGCTGGACATCAGGGTCTTGATAAAATCCTGTGAGAGAGTTAACATTGAGATTTGGTATTGTCAGATTCAGCTTATCCTTTATTTTAGTACAAACTAGAACATTTTTAAATTAAGAAAATTCTGGGTGTTAACCTTTCAAACAACTTCATTAAGTTTAGTCATGGAAGGCTTTGTACCAGCTCACAGAGAAATGGTGCTCCTGGGAGCATAGTTTGGGAACCTCGTTGTACCTTTCCACTCACTCTTGGTTTCCCTACTCTTTCCCTTTCACGTAGAACACTCTTGTATAATAAAAGTCCACTTTAACTGCAGATGTCAGGCTTGTTGTTAGATATTAGCAGAACATCTGCTCACCCAGAGGATATGTTTCTACTCACTACTTATTAACCAATCTTTATTGAAGATGCTGGTCACTGTTACAGGTGAGATGCATTAAAGACTAAAACAGATAAAGATCCTCGTTCTCATGGAGTATACAGGGTGGGGCAAACGTAGGTTTACAGTTCGTCGGGAAAATCATACAGTAATTAGTAGAGAAACTCTGTGTTTCATGTACTCACAACTTTAAACCTACTTTTGTCTCACCTGCATATTCTAAGACTTGCAAGTTACATAATAAATAAGTAGATTATTTATTTTGTCAGGAGGCTTTGAGTGCTATGGGGAAAAACACCAAAATAGCATGGCACGGAATTGGGGAGTCATGGTGGTGAGAGGGTATGGAAAGGGCTTGTAGAGTAGACGTTATTAAAAATTGACATTTGCCCAGCCAGTTGGTTCAGTGGTTGAGCATTGCCCTATGAACTAGGACAGTGGTCTGCAAACCCCTTAAATGTGGCTCTTCCACAAAATACCATGTGCAGGCGCACACGTACATTGGGATTGAAACTTCGTGGCCCATGTGCAGAAGTCATTTTTCGGCCTGGGCAAGTCTGTTTTGAAGAAGTGGTGTTAGAACACCTGCAGTTTGCCGACCACTGAACTAGGAGGTCATGCTTTGATTCTCAGTCAGGGCACATGATTGGTTGCGGGCTTGATCCCCAATGTGGGGCATGGAGGAGGCAGCGATGAGTCATCATTGATATTTCTGTCTCTCTTCCTTCCCCTTCCTCTCTGAAATCTATAAAAATGTATTTTAAAAAATTGACATTTGGCAACAACTGGAAGAAGATGAGGAAGTAAATTAGGTGGCTAGCTGCAGAGGAGAGCTGGGTGCACATAGAAGGTGCAGGCCCCAGTGGGAATCAGCATTGACAGGTTGTGGAGTGCGCCAGACTGAGAGGGGCGTGGAGTAGGAGTGGACAGCAGAGAAGTGGGGGTGAGGAGACAGCATGAAGGAGCCATGGGAGCCATTATAGGGTCCTGGGCAAAATGGAAGCCTTCTGGATCTTGAGCAGAGAGGTGCATGATCTGACTCATTGTAATCTCTAGGTGGATTCTGGAGAATGGCCTGCAGAGGGACTGTGTGTGTGAGGTGGGGAGGAGCCCTGTGGTAGCGGGCTGTCAGGAAGTCCCCGCTGAGGAGGGAGAGAGGCAAGGCCCAGTGCAGCAGTGGAGTGCTGGGGTGCTTTCTGGAGGGGCGCATTAGGGATGCCACTGAGGTTTTTGTCCTGTGTGAACTAGAGGAATAATACTGCCATCAGCTGAGTTAGCAAAGGATTTTATGATGAACCAGGCTTTGGGGGCAAAGAGCAGTTTAGTTTGGGGTATGTTAAGTTTTGAGTTGTCTTAACAGACATTCAAGTGGAATGGTTAAGCAGCAGTTGAATTTGTTAGACTGTAGCTGAGAAGCTTGTACTGGGTCTAGTAGTATACATTTGAGAGTCTTCAGTATTTATAAAGCTGTGAAATTGGATGAAAAGCCCAAGAGATGAGAGATAGGAGGAGGACAAATGAATGAGTATTAGGGTTGGAAGTTAAGGGTCAGAAGTTCAGCAAAAGAAACCAAGTAGTGTAGGAGAACAGGCAGTCCTAGAAGCCAAGTGAGTGCAGATAGCAGGGGAGGGGTGAGCAGCTGTGTGTGATGCCACTGATGGGTCAGGTGAGAGAAGGACTGAGCATTGACTTGGTCATTTCGCCATGTGGAGGTCATTGATGATGGATTAGAGTATGCTCGGGAAAGAAGGAGAATAGTGAGTGTTGACAAGTTGACAACTCTTCAGATCTAATGCAGAGGTGAGCAAAGGAATGCGGTAGTGGGGAAAGTGGTCCTGAGTTCTTGTTTTTAATGGAAGAAATAATAGTGTTTACAGGATAGGCTGATGGTAGCTTGTGAGTGTAATAACAAATTGATGATGGAAGCAAAAGAGAGAATTTCTGGTATAGAAAAGAGAGGGTGGGGAATAGTGTAATTTGGAGGGCTGGTTTTAGAGTAACTGGTGTGGAGAATTCATCTCTTCCTGGTGGCTGAGGCCAGGTGGTCTCCTCGAGTATAAATGCACGGTGGTGTGAGCCCCTGGTAGCTCTTTCCTTAGTGAAAGGGTCATTGGCTGAGAAGAGATGAGGGAGGATGGGGGGAGGGAGCTGATGGAGGAGAGAGGAATTTATTGGTTTATTTCTCTCTCCCTTGAGCTAGCAGCTGGATAGCAGATTGCTAATACTTTGTTGGAACAAGGAGATATTATCCACTGTCTTACGTTCCTTGCTGGGATTTTTGTCTTTTGGGTTACAGGGATGTGAACACCACCATCATGGAGCTCCTGATCATGGTTTATGCGTGTAAGACCTCTTGTGCCAAAAGCATCATTGGTGTGATTCCCTACTTCCCTTACAGCAAACAGTGCAAGATGAGAAAAAGAGGCTCCATTGTTTCTAAATTGCTGGCTTCAATGATGTGTAAAGCTGGTAAGAATGGCAGATATTTGATAATTAATTGGGATCCTGAGTGTTTTATTTTTATCTTAGAAATTGTAAAGCATTTTAAAGACTATATTGGAGTGCTAAACAGAGTTTAAAAAGTGATACAGTTTTAATTTCATTTATTTTTTAAAATTTTCAAAATTATTTATTTATTTATTTATTTATTTATTTATTTATTTATTTATTTTGTTAGAAATTGAAGGGAGAAGGAGAGAGAGAGGAAAAGAAAACAAAACCCATACATATCGATGTGAGAGTGAAACATTGATCACTGCCCCCTACCGGGAACCCAGCCTGCAACCCAAGCTATGCCCTCACAGGGAATCGAACCAGCAACCTTTCAGTGCATGGGACAATGCCCAGCCACTTAGCTACACTGGCCAAGGCTGGTACAGCTTTTAAAGTTAAATAATTTATGAGAAAACAGTACAGAGAATTCTTTGGTCCCCAAAACACAAAGGTAGTGAGAACAAGTTATTTTTTTCCTAAATTCTTTGTTTAAAAATTAGATTGAACCCTGCTGCAGTGGCTCAGTGGTTGAGCGTTGATCAAGAATCAGAAGGTGAAGGCTCATTTCCCAGTCAGGGCACATGCCCAGGTTGCTGGCTCGATTCTCAATAGTGGGGGTGCAGGAGGCAGCCAATCAATGATTCTCTCTCATCATTGATGTTTCTCTCCCTCTCCCTTCCTCTCTGGGGAAAAAAAATGATACACACACACACTAGAAGCCTGGTTGCACGAATTCGTGCATGGATGGGGTCCCTCGGCCTGGCTGGTTATTGGGCCAATAGGGGCATCTCATCCAGTCCCGATGGGCGGTGGGGTAGGGCCTGCAGGGGATTGGCCAGCTGGGGGGAGAGGAGAGGGAGTTTGGCTGTGGGAGTGCACTGACCACCAGGGGGCAGCTCCTGCGTTGAGCATCTGCCCCATGGTGGCCAGTGTGCATCAAAGGGACTGGTCAATCAGTTGTTCTGGTCGAAATGGTCGCTTAGGCTTTTATATATATAGACATATTTTAAGAGAATATTGAAATGACAAGTTATAATCATATAAGTCGTTTTTAAAGGAGGGAAAGGCATCTGAACCAACTCTTTAACACAGCAACTACTTTTATTTTAGCCTCTTCCCTTTCCCAGGACAGGTTGGTATATTTTGTAAACTATGTGTATTACTTTGTGTTGTGCATTTTCAGGTAACATCCTAAGGGTCTCCCCTTGTTTCTTTCTTTTTTTTTTTTTTTCCCAAATATGTTTTATTGATTTTTTACAGAGAGGAAGGGAGAGGGATAGAGAATTAGAAACATCGATGAGAGAAAATCATCGATCAGCTGCCTCTTGCACATCCCCTACTGGGGATGTGCCCGCAACCAAGGTACATGCCCTTGACCAGAATCAAACCCAGGACCTTTCAGTCCGCAGGCTGACGCTCTATCCACTGAGCCAAACCGGTTTCGGCATCCCCTTGTTTCTAAGTAATCTCAGAGTTGTTATTGTGTATATGTGTGTGCATGTATGTACTGGTATATGTGCATATCTCAGAGCATTTGCACAAAGAAGAAAGAATAAAAAATCCTCATATCACTGCATTTTAACACAGACGCCATAGAATAAATTTCTACTGTGGCATTCCAAAGACGACAAAAATAAAACCAAGTTTGATGAAACCCAAACCCCTGCAATCTCATGAGCTTACCTCGTTGAAAACTGACAGGCAGCAAGCTGAAGGGATCGAGCTGCTCATCAGGTCTTCAGGAAGTCCTGTCCTTCTGACCTTCCTCTGGGGAATCATTAGGCCTCTGACCTTTCTCCTGGGGGGCATTAGGCCTCTGATCTTCCTCCTGGGGGCATTAGGCCTCTGACCTTCCTCTTGGGGGAGGGGGGCACTAGGCCTCTGACCTTCTTCCTGGGGGCATTAGGCCTCTGACCTTCTTCCTGGGGGCATTAGGCCTCTGACCTTCTTCCTGGGGGCATTAGGCCTCTGACCTTCCTCCTGGGGGCATTAGGCCTCTGACCTTCCTCCTGGGGGCATTAGGCCTCTGACCTTCCTAGGGGCATTAGGCCTCTGACCTTCTTCCTGGGGGCATTAGGCCTCTGACCTTCTTCCTGGGGGCATTAGGCCTCTGACCTTCCTCCTGGGGGCATTAGGCTTACTTTCTTGCTCTTTAGGAAAGTTTTGGTTTGTAAAATTTTTCCAATTGAATTTTTCTTATTCTTTGTATGTTGTCAACCTGACCTTCAGCTCAAGCAAACGTGATTATCCGGGCCCACACAGAAGTCACGATTACAAAGAAGCAACAAAAATGCACATAATCTCCTTTGTCTTGGGCTTTAGTAAAACTCCCTGGTATTTTGCTGTATAAAATAAATGTGCTGTATTGGCTCTGGGTCACTCTCCATCAGAGGACAGCTGTCCCACTTTTTCCTTCTATCTCTGTGTCTGTCTCTTTCTTTCATTTTCTCAATCCCCAGTTGTCCCTACTCAAGACCTGGGCCAAAATATTCTTTAATGAGCCAATAGTGACGGTTCTTAATTTTTCCAGTTACAGGCCTGTACATTTGCCTTAATATCTTAAGACAATATTTGTCTTAATATAGCTTTGCCATGCCTGTTAAAGAAACTTCAAGGCGATGTAATTTGCTCTAGTAGGATTTTATCAGAGACATTTCTTTGTTACTATTATCTTTGCTATTTTAAGACTAAATTCCTGTGAAAATCAGGCATCTCTGTGTAAGACAAACCACCTGGTCTTTCCCTCTTGAGCTGAGAAAAGCCCAGTTTGCTAGCTCTCTACCTCCTGCGTCTCCTTTACTGCTCACACGGAACATTTCTGACACTTCTGGTCACTAACTGTGTAATTTCCCCTTAAACCTAGTGATTCTTCGTGACATCAGCTGGGAGCCCCACAATTTAACTAAATTCTGACAATATCTACCTGGAGATCCTGTCTGATCCCACCGATTAAGGGCTCAGTCTCACAAAACTGGCCATCCCTTTCAGATGCTGGTTGCTAGTTTAGGTTGTTATCTGTGCTTCACACCAATTGACTATAAACCTGAGGTTCCCCCATCTTCTCGGATTCCATTAATTTGTTAGAGCAGCTCAGAGAACTTAAGAAAGCAGTTTACTTACTGTTTACCAGTTTATTATAAAAAGTCATAATTAAGGATACAGATGACCATATAGAGGAAAAGGTGTGTAGGGCAGGGTATGTGGGACTAAAGGGCATGGAGCTTCAGTGCCAACTGGGTTTGCCACTCTTCCCAGCACCTCCACCTGTTCACCAACTTGGAAAGTTTCCACTACCTGTGCTATTGGGATTGCATTGAGCTTGCCCATAGTATAATCATTAACTCCACTTCTAACTCCTCTCCCCTCTCTGGAGAAGTGGCTGAAAATGCCACGCTTCTGATTTTGGCTGGTCATTCCAGGAGCCATCCAGAGGCCCACCCAGAGTCACCTCAATAGAACAACTGAGGCTCCTAGCTCTTTTCACTTAGCAACTCACGGGGTTAGGAGCTGTGTGCCAGAAACCAGGGACAGGCCAGTTTTTATTTATTCTCTTATTTCCCAATCTCATACTAAAATATTTGATATAACAATGCTGAATTTTTTTTATGAGAGCAATTTTTAATCATAATTTATCACTTAAATATCCTATTTTATATTGTACTTATTTCATACAGTGCAACTTATTTTATATAGTACTAATTTCATACAGTACAGTTCAACACATAAACTAGTTATGTGCTTGTGTCTGCTTTATTTTCAAAGGTCTGACTCATCTTATTACTATGGATTTACATCAAAAGGAAATTCAGGGCTTCTTCAATATTCCTGTTGATAATTTAAGAGCGTCTCCCTTCTTATTACAATATATTCAAGAAGAGGTAAGCTAGCTCAAACTATTTTATTTTAAAATTCTTTTTAAAGTTGAAAGACATTTCCTTGTCTTTGGGTTGTCCATAAAAGAAGTACTATTTACTTGAGAAATGTAACTCATTGTGTTTTAAGATCCTTAATCTTTAACATATTTTTTTTGTTAACTTCTTAAAATTGCTTTTTCTTTTTTTGGACTTAAGGTTCCTAGGATTGGACTAGCTGTGATTTATATAGAGAGATATATACAGTATTTATTATTTAAAACACAAAAAATATATTTTTAAATTTTATCAAAAAGAATCAAACTGTGTAATCTTTTGGGAATTTTTCACTTGATGTTACATTATTATGATTCAGCCATATTGTTGTGTCACAGTTTATCTTTTTTTAAAATTTTTTAAGAATAGTTTATTGATTTTACAGAGAGAGAGAGAGAAAAAAGGATGGGGGAAGGAGAGAGAGAGAGAAATATTGATATGAGAGTAAAACATTGATCAAGCCTTTAACCTGGCATGTGCCCCGGGCATGTGATAGGAATCAAACCAGCAACTTTTCAGTGCATAGGAGGATGCCCAAGCAGGTGAGCTAATCAGGCCAGGACACAGTTCACCCATTTTGACTATTGAAAAAGACTTACTGTGCCGCTGTTATCACAGTCTATCTATATAAAAGGCTAATATGCTAAGTGTTCTTCCCTTTGGTCAGGTAATGATGTCATATAGCAACGCCTGGCTTCCTCTCCCTAGCAACTAGCCTCCTTGCAGTTTCTTTAGCCCAGGAACACGACTTGCTGTATAGCCATCTGGAAACAGTTCACACTGTAACCAAATGTCTGTGAAGCATTTTCCTGTGCCTCATCTTATTTGATCCTCACAGAAGTCCTGGAGTAGGTAGATAGGAGACTTGGTGGAATCCTATTTTCTTTTCATTAGCCAGAAAACAGATACTTAGAAAGCTTAGAAACTTGACCTGACTGAAAAGAAGTAAGAAATGGTGGACCTTAAAAATGATTTCAGGTTTTCTCACTGCGTAGCAAATAGTCAAACACTACTGCAGTTAAATATTTTACCCTTTGTTCGCCCTTCATGATCTACAATAATAATCTGCTTTGTGTTGATATTTACTGCTGTGTTGTTGACAGTTACCTGGAAGAGAAGTTGGGGTGCTTCACTGGGCTGGAAAAAGTTTAGCTACATCAGAAACCAGGTCTAATTAAAAAAGTTTGCTCTATCTCTGTAAAAGGCTAAGTTGACTTGTGCATGCTCGATACATATAAAGCTCTTGCTCTTGCCAGTTGCAAGCATGTGTGTTTCCATCTGTTATTGATTGTGAATTTGGTTGACACTTCTATTATAGAGAAAGGGCAAATAGTGATATTAAAATATTTCTTCTTAATTTTCTTTCAATGTGTACGAATTTGTGCACGGGGCCACTAATCTACATTAAACATTTTTTAAAAAAATAGATACTGCAAAAATTACAATTTTCTGAAGTTTTAATAGATATTGTAAAAATTGCAATTATCTGAAGAGGCTGTATTAATTTATACTCCCAGTAGCAGTGTTATGATAGTACCTGTTTCCCTGGGCCTTCATTGTGCTAAGTTAATAGACAAAACACCACTACCTTACTTGGATTTTTTACTCCCTGGTAGCTAGTGTGATTGAGCATCTTATCAGGGGGGAGGCTTTTCCGGGGGTGGGGGAGGGACAGAATTTCCCCCATCTAAAATGGTGTTTTCGCCTGGCCGGTGGGGCTTAGTGCTTGAGTGTCAACCTATAAGCCAAGGAGACCGTTCTTCAATTCCTGGTGAGGCACATGCCCAGGTTGTGGGCTCAATCCCTAGTAGGGGCCGTGCAGGAGGTAGCCCATCAATGATTCTCTCTGATCATTGATGTTTCTGTCTCTCCCTCTCCCTTCCTCTCTGAAATTGATAAAAATGTATAAGATAGTGTTTTATTTTCTTGCCGTGATTTTGGAATTTCAGCAGGTGTGTCCACTGATTTTTCTAGATACTCAGTGTGTCCCTTTCATTCTTTGGGAATCTTTTCCCTTATAATTTGAATATTTTACCATCCTCCCCTTTTTTTATTCTCTGAGATCTGTTATGTGTAGTCTCTATATTGTTTAACTTTTTTCTTCAAGTTTTGTGTTCTTATATCCCTCCTTGTAGGAAAATTTCTGGCCTGATCTCCCAGGTTTGTTATTCAGTTGTGTCTGTAGCTAGCCAGTGACTGGATTGTTTTTTGGACCATAATCACTTCTACCTCTGGATTTCTTTTTGGTTCTTTTTCATAACAGCTTATTTTCTCTTTATGAATATGTTTTTCTGCTTTAACTTTTGAGGATAAAATAGACCTACTTTTACTGTTGAGTCCTTTTTTCACTGTTTTCTTGGTTATTTCCTCTCATAACTGGATTTGCTTATGTTTGATAAGGCAAGGAAGTACATAAACTAGTTTAGAAAGATTTCTAGCAAAAATAAGAAACGTGCTTTCCTCGCTGACAGTGTTCCTGAAGAACATATGATCCATGAGGTTATGCTGGATATATCTGTAGTAGAGCCTTCAGATTAATCAGTTGTTTGTTTATTAAGTATTTATTACTTAGTGCTTCCCATGTGCTAAGAAATGTACAAGGTGCTAGTGATTATTTTAAGTGTTTATATTAAAATTTATTGAACTGGCATAATTGTGAGAAAAAGCAATGGTGATTTATTGAAATGAAATTATATAACTTAATGAAGTGATTAAATTTTAAGAACATAAAATAGTGCCAAGATGAAGTCAGAAATAAATACTGTGCCCTGGTTGGTATGACTCAGTTGGCTGAGTGTCATCCTGTGCACCAAAAGGTTGCTGGTTCAGTTCCCGTTTAGGACACATGTCCAGGTTGTGGGCTTGATCCCCAATAGGCGGCACAGAGAGGCAGTCGATCATATGTCTCTTTCTCTACTCTCCCCCCACTCCCTCCCTTCCTAATAAAAATAAATAAATAAAAAGAACCCTGTTGCTATGGCTTAGTGGTTGAGCATCAGCCTATGAACCAGGACATCATGCTTTGAATCCCCATCAGGGCAAATGCCTGTATTGTGGAAAGTAAACTACTGCTCAGCTTAAAAACAATTTTGCCTTCTAAACTCTCAGAAGTTGACAGTAGGTATATCTTTAATATATTATCACTGGCACAGATCACTTCAAGTGTTCAACTTTATTGACTCTAGAGCACAGTGATATTTTAGTTATTTTCATAAGGGCTCTTAATCTATAGTAATCTATAATAATAAAAGCATAAGAAGCTAATTATACCCACGTCCTTCCAGACAACTTTCCGGATGCTGTGGGGGCTGCGAGGGAAGCCCGGGTCCCGGGCGCCAGAGGGAAGCCGGTGCCGGCAGCGGGGAAGGAGGGCCTGCTCTTGCAGGAATTCTGTGCATCGGGCCTCTGGTGTCCTCACAGAACAGCCCTGGGCTGATTGTCTTTAACAAGTTGGTTCTTCTCTGTATGACTGAGATATGGTAAAGAGGCATTTGTGTGGATGCACTGATTTGGAACTTAACAATTACAGTGCCTTGGATTCAGATGGGGTGGCTATCATCCTGGCGATATGAAGTGACAACTTCCCGAGACCGACTATAACAATGTCTTTATACCATATTATCAGTATTTGCTGGAGTTTTTTCTTCAAAGAGGTCTGTGAGGCTTGTTCTTAATAATAATATTTTCCTGAGAAAACACACATACACACACAAGTGAAAAATAATATTTTTTGCTAGGTAGGCATTTATTCATTTTCCAAAGGAGAAAAATGCTTTGAACATTTCTCTTCTTGGAAAATTTTCAAGTGACCAAATGACATTTTTTAGTCCGATGCACTTCCTTTTTCGTTTGTTAATCCTCACCTGAGAATGTGGTTTTTTTTGTTTTTGTTTTTTTTCATTGCTTTTTCAGAGAGAATAGAAGGAAGGGAGGGAGAGACACATGGACTGGTTGCCTCTGGTATGTGCCCCATCCTAGGTCCATGCCCTTGACTGGGAATCGAACCCAAGACCTTTCCATGCTCAGGCCCATGCTCTAACCCACTGAGAACACCGGCTAGGGCTGCACTGTTCCTTTTCATTGATTGTTGAGTGTTGGTGTGCATAGCCTTATGGAGTCACGGCAGTAACCCTGGCCTCTCTGTCACAGATCCCGGATTACAGAAATGCAGTGATTGTAGCCAAGTCTCCAGCCTCAGCCAAGAGGTAGGTGGGAGCTCACGACTGAGCGCTCCTCCATCCACATCCAGCGATCAGTCCTCCATCAGATCCCCGGTGTTCTGTTTCAACCTCAGCAGTTCACTGGTGTCCTTACTTTTATTTCGTGGACTGGTAGTTTGACAGATTTTTTGCAGACCTCATTTATTAAGTGATGACGATTGGTCTTTCTTTCTTTTTAAACCCCAGTCTGTGACCACCAGTTTTTTTTGTTTTTGTTTTTTTACCAAAGTCGCCCAGGTCTGGGGAATCCCAGAGCGGCAGCTGCTGGTTGTGATATTCCAATCTGGCATTTATAATACTAGCAAATATGCTTTGTAGTTGTTTGCTGCCTCGAACTCAGTAATTTATTAACAGAATTGTATCCAGCCCAGTGGTCTGTGTTGGTATGTGTTAAAAGGTGACATTTTACAAAACGAAAACACCCAGAGGCATCCAAATGGGGCAGTTCTGAGAATCACGTGTAGCCCCAGGTAACTGATGAGTCAGGAATGCAGTGTGTAGGGTTGTATTTGGGCTAAGAGTGTCTCATGTACCAATATTTCCTGGGAAAGAACAAAATCAGTTGCAGGAAGGAATAAAATCTTTTCTCTAAAAAAGTCTGTTTTAAGCTTATTTTCCACAATTGAATGCCTTTGCTCCCTGGCATTGTTGAGTCCTGGGGGATGGAGGGAAACAGGCGCCCCCCTGCTGGCCCCGCCGCTGTTAGTGTTGAAGCGGGGAGCTTACACATGCTGAGGCAGCCAGAGGAGCTCACAGAGAGTGGTCCCCACCACGGCTGAAGAATGCCGTTAGACTGCCAATCAGGCTGCATGTGACGAGCATGGTGTGCCATGTTCTTAGAGCGCCCCCGTGCAGCAGGGCTGTGCCCGCACTCACGCTTCCTCCAGGAAGTCGCGTCACAGACCTCGCATTGTCCACTGGAGAAAGCCATAGTGAATGGCCTCATTTTGGAAAAGAAATATCCCAAACAACTTTTTCAAACATTTGTGCAAAGGCTGAATTAATTAAAATTTAGTAATTTATTTTTCTGTGATGTACAGACTTTTAAAAAATTAATGTAAAAGTCGCATAACATACAATTAACCATTTCTAAGTATATAGTTCACTGGCATCCAGTGCATTCACAAGGTTATGCAACAACACCTGTCCTCATCATATAATCACTCTCCACCCTCCCCCCAGCCCTGGCAGCCGTAATCTGCTCTGTCTCTGGATTTGCTTATTCTGGATATTTCATAGAAATGGAAGCACACATTATATAGCCTTTTGTGTTTCATTTCTTTCACTTAGCATAGTGTTTGGTTTTCGAGGACCAAATATCTGTGTGTTAGTATTTCATGTCTTTTTATGGCTGATAATATTCTGTTGGATAGATGGGCTGCACTTGATCTTTCATCATTGATGGGCAATGGGGTTGTTTCCCCCTTTGGGCTGTTTTGAGGAGCTGTGAACAGTTGTTTGTAAGTTTCTGTATTGACACGTGTTCATTTCTTGTGGATGTACTGGTATGTCTAGGTTTGAAATTGGTAGGCCATGGTAATTCTGCTTACATTTTTGAGGGACCACTGAACTTTTTTCCATTTTTCCATTCTCACCAGCAGTGTACAAGGGTTCTAATTTCTCCACACTATTACCAACACTTATTTTCTGGGTTTTTTTTGTTTGTTTGTTTGTTTTCTTTTTTTTTTATATAGCCATCCTAAGTGGGTATGAAATGGCATCTCATTGTGATTTGCTGTTTTTTTGTTGTTTTTATTTATTTATTTATTTTTTTATTAATATAAAAATAGGCTGTTTTTATTAATATAAAAATCACCAGAGGCTATTTTTTCTCATTGATTTTAGAGAGAATGGAAGGGAGAGGGTGAGACAGAGTGAGAGAAATACTGATATGAGAGATTGCCTCTCACACATGCCCTGATCAGGCCCAGGATTGAGCTGCAACCCAGGTACCAGCACTTCAGTCCAAGGGTGATACTCTAATCACTGAATCAAACCGGCTAGGGCTTATTATAGTTTTTGTTTGTTTTTATGTTTTTGGTTAATCCTCACCTGGGGATATTTTTTCCATTGATTTTTAGAGATAGTGGGAGGGAAGGAGGGAGAGAAAGGTAGAAAGAGCCGAAACCAGTTTGGCTCAATGGATAGAGCGTCGGCTTGGGGACTGAAAGGTCCCGGGTTCGATTCCGGTCAAGGGCATGTACCTTGGTTGCGGGCATATCCCCAGTAGGGGGTGTGCAAGAAGCAGCTGGTCGATGCTTCTCTCTCATCGACATTCCTAGCTCTCTATCTCTCTCCCTTCCTCTCTGTAAAATATCAATAAAATATATTTAAAAAAAAAAAAAAAAAGTAGAAAGAGAGAGACACATTGATTGGCTGTATCCTGAATGTGACTCAACTGGAGCCGAGGATTGAACCTGCATTCTGGGTACATGCTCTTTTTTTTTTTTTTTTTTAATTTATTGATTTTTTTACAGAGAGGAGGAGAGAGGGATAGAGAGCTAGAAACATCGATGAGAGAGAAACATCGACCAGCTGCCTCTTGCACACCCCCTACCGGGGATGTGCCCGCAACCAAGGTACATACCCTTGACCGGAATCAAACCTGGGACCTTTCAGTCCACAGACTGATGCTCTACCACTGAGCCAAACCGGTTTCAGCTTGGGTACATGCTCTTGACTGGGAATCAAACCTGTGACCATTTCCTGCATGGGCTGACGCTCTAACCACTTAGCCACACTAGCTGGACTCTTATGTGATTTTGATTTTGATTTCTTATTAATGATTTTAGCATTTTTTCATGTGCTTGTGGCCATTAGTATATCTTTGGACAAATGTCTACTCAAATGCTTTGCTTATTTTAAAATTAATCAGTGTTTAATTAAAATGTCTACAAATACATGCCCAGCTGGTATGGTTCAGTGGTTGAGTGTCAACCTCTGAACCAGGAGTCACGGTTCAATTCCTGGTTAGAGCACATGCCTGGGCTGCAGGCTTGATCCCCAGGAGGTAGGGTCAGGAAGCAGCCTATCAATGATTCTCTCTCATCACTGATGTTTCTGTCTGTCTCTCCCTCTCCCTTCCTTACTGAAATCAATTAAAAAGTATATTTTTAAAAAGTTACGATACCAGAGGCCCAGGAAGATCCTCAGATGGCCCTGTGTGTTGGAAAGCTGCCATGGGCAGATCAGAGAACTCTCATGTTCAAGTCCAGACCAGCTCCTGCCCAGACCAGCTCCTGAACAGAAAGCTGGGCTCAGTTCATTCACTGTTGGGGTGAGAAAATATCCCAACTCCCAATTCTCTTGATGGACATGGCTCTAAATATCACCCACTGATTGGGGGGGAAGGCTGTCTATGTCGGCAGCTGGGAAAGCCAATTGGCCAAGGTCATTATGTTGTGGCCGGTGTCTGGAGGAATCAGATATTGTCTTGATCTCAAAAAGATAAACAGCTGCAGAAGATCCAAGATGGCTGCACAGGTAAACACCTAACCACAGCCACACACAACAATTTCAATAAAAAACAACTAAAATATAAAATGGACATTACCCAGAACTACAGGAAAGTCGACTGGCTGGAAATTCTACAATGAGAAGCAAGGAGAAAACCAGAAGGAAGAGCAGAGGAGCTGTAAAAGCCCAAGAGACCTAAAAACAGACTGAAAAATCGCAAAAATCAAGTCAAAGATTTGGAACATAAAGAGCCAGAAGACACTCCTCCACAGAAGCAAGAAGGCAAGAGAATCCAGAAAGTTGAAGATAATGTAAGAAACCTCTGGGACAACTTCAAGCAAACCAACATCAGAATTATGGGGGTCTCAGAAGATGAGAGCAAGATATCGAAAACATACTGAAAGAAATAGTGATAGAAAACTTCCCCCACCTGGAGAAAGAATTAAACTTACAAGTCCAGGAAGCGCACCGAACTCCAAACAAAAGGAATCCAAAGAAGACCACACCAAGACACATCATAATTAAAATTCCCAGAGCAAAAGACAAGAGAGAATATTAAAAGCAGCAAGAGCAAAGCAGGTAGTTACCTATAAAGGAGCACCTATACGATTGTCAGCTGATTTCTCAACAGAAACCATGCAGGCCAGACGGGAATGGCAAGAAATATTCAAGGTGATGAATAGCAAGAACCTACAGCCAAAAATACTCTACCCAGCAAAGCTATCACTCAGAATCGAAGGCCAGATAAAGAGCTTCACTAATAAAAAAAAGCTAAAGGAGTTCATCACCACCAAACCAGAATTATATGAATTGCTGAAGGGGGTTCTTTCAGAAGAGAAAGAAAATAAAGATAAAATTTATGAACAACAAATACATAACTATCAACAAGTGAATCTAAAAACCAAGGGAATTAAAAAAAAATCTGATAAACAATATTAACTGGTAAATATAATAGAATCAGAGGTATGGAAGGGGAGTGAACTGACGATTCTCGGGGAAAAGGGGAGAGGGGGATGTGGGAAGAGACTGAACATAAACTGTGCACCTATGGATGAGGACAATGATGGGTGGGGGAAAGGGCAGAGAGTGGGGTGGGAACCTGGTGTAGGGGAGCAACGGAGGGGGGGGGGGGAAGAGGAACATCTGTAATAATATGAACAATAAAGATTTAAAAAAAAAGAACAAAAGCCATTTGGAAAAAAAAAAAAATAGATAAACAGCTGCTTCTGCTTCTTCCTCTTCTCTCCCCCCTAATGCATCCCCTGAGTCTCAGGAGAGGGCTTTGAGACAGCATCCTTGGCTTATTTTTAAATGGAGTTGTTTGTCTTTTTGTGGTTGAATTATAGAACTTCTTTATATATTCTAAATACAAACAAACAAATACTAGACCCTCTCAGATTATATGGTTTGCAATTATTTTAATCCATTCTGTAGGTTGTCTTTTCCCATTCTTGATATGTCCTTTGATGTATAAAAGTTTTTAATTTTTATGAAGCCTAATTTAGCTTTTTTTGTTATTGCTTGTGCTT